AATTTTGACAACTCCAAAATACCATGAGAAATGAACTTTTTTGGGTTATCTATTATTCAGGCAATTTTGTCAGTAATTAATTTTAATATTATTATAGCTTAAAAATAAAAAAATAAAAAATAAAAAATAACAAAAAGAGTGTCAGTGCTGTGCCAGATATGCTCCAGGCCGAATCCAAATGCTGTCAGATTCAAAAAAGAAAAAGTTTATTCCTTTTAATCATGATTCTCACTCCCAGACGTTACGGTTTAAGAATTAATTTTAACGAAAAATAATAAAATAACTTAATTGTCTTAAAACCCATAAAATAGTGACAAGAAAAAAAGATAAAATATTTAATTAATAATCATTTTTTAAAATTAATTTAAAAAATAAAGTAATAAATAAATATAAAATTATTGAGAATGATATACATGAAAATAAGGGTGTAATACTGAAAAGGGTACACTTTTATGGTGAAAAAAGTAAATGAACAAAAAGTAGACAGTCATTTCTGAAGAGGTAGTAAAAAATTAAAAAAAGTATATTAAAAATAAGTGGATTTTTAGAAATTTTTTACCTAAATATTTTAAAATAATGTATTACTTTTTTTTTATTAGTATTAGATAATTGTAAGGTAATAAATATTCATAAATAATAATTTTTCAATCATTTGATCTTGAACTTTGACACCTTCTGTTTTTTGTGTGTTTGAACTTAATACTTTAAAGAATAACAATAATTTTTTATCATCGAGACCGTTTAATTCGTATAAAATTATGTATTACTTAAATATATAGTTTACAAATGCTTAAATGTAATTTTTAAAAGATATATATATATATATAGCCTATATTATACATATATTTTCGGTGATAATTATTAATTAAATTATAATAAATAGGAGTATATTTTCCTTTTTCACCCATGCTGTGTGTGAGAGACAAAACGTAGTATACACTGTAAGTAAAAGAAGGAAATCAACGGAAGAGGGAAAGGGCGAACGAGAAAGAAAAGGAAAGCACAGCGAGAAAAAGAGACACAAACAGAGACAACTCATTCTTTTCAAACACTCCATTTCAACACCAATTTACCGCTACGGAGTTGCCATCCCTGACCACGGCGATACGCCGGTTGCAAATCTTCCATTTCAACACCAATGCCGTCGCATACGGCGTTTCAATTGGTTGATTCCGGGATTTGAACTCCTTCATAGCTCTGTTTCAGTGGGAAAAAAGGGGAAAACTTTCTTTTTTTGGTTTCGTTTTGTTTTCAAATCTGGAAGAATATATTGTGGTGGCCGTCCGATTCTGTTTCCACTATGGTGATGAAAGCATGGGTAGTGGTGGAGAAAGTTAGGAGGATCGTACGGACGGTGATTTTCATGGTGACTATGATGGCTTCGCTTGCAGGATTGTCGCTGCCGTTGATGGTAGCGCTAGGCGATATCATGTTCCCTTTCCTTTTACTCTCCAGCTTCACGTGCGTCACGTGTCACGGCTTCAACGAACACTTTCGTCTTTACGCTTTCAAAAGCTCCTTAATCGATTTCCCTCTCGTCTCCATTCTCAGATCTATCATCATCACTTGTACGATTTCTCACTTTCGTTTTTTTTCTAATTCGGGAAAAAATGAAATAAATCTATATAAAATTTCCCATTTTGTTTATGTTCATAATTTGCAGGTGTATATTCGTTGTGTGATGGTCCGACATTATCCCATGGACCTTACGTAGGAACCGTCATTTTGTGTTCATTCGTTTCGATTCTTCTACTTTCAATTAAGGCCTGTGTTTTTACGGTGAATTTTGGAATAGAAGCGGAGACATCGTCGGCAAGCCAAAGGCTTCATTGGAAGAAGCCATGGGGAATGCCAGTTTTGTTTCTTTCCTCTGTACTTTTCGCACTTGGTCATACTGCGATTGCTTATAGAACAAGTTGCAGAGCAAGGAGAAAGCTTTTGTTTCATCGTGTTGACCCTGAAGCTGTAAGCTTTTCTTGCTTAAATTGCAATTTTGGGGTCTTCTTGTTTCAAGTTTTTATTATTCTGAAAACGAAAGGTTTGGTTTTACTTAATATGACATAAGGCAGATTCTGAAGATATGAAGTGATTATGTTAGAACTGGTTCTACATTTTACCTGTGTTTTGTTTTTCTAACAATGATTATTATTTCTTTGTGTTTCATTGCATCAGATCTAAGTCAGTGGTTTACACTAATGCAACTGTGACTTTCATACTTTTGGTTTCTTAATAGAGTATTGATATTTTCTTTTGGTTGTGACATTAATGTTATTGCAGGTTCTTTCGTGCAAAAATGTTTTTTCGGGCTTCTAGAAGGTTCCACGATCTCCCACTCCCTCTGCAGGGAAAACCCAAAAAGTGATAGTGAAGCAAGGCGAAAACCTTTCGGGCAATCCCATGATGAAGGGGAACTCCCTGCTAGATTACTTGTTGACATTGATAGCTTATTCATTACATTGCAAGGGCTTACCATTCATTACAAACTTTCCATTCCCGGTTCACCCCCTAGGTCTTGGTCATCTACTACCTTTCTGGGACCTAAAGTTAGTTTCACACCAGTAGTAGCTCCTGGAAGGCTGAAGCTTGATAGTAAAGTACTAAGCATGTCATCGAAAACACATTCTCTCCATCTTCAGAGGAGCTATAGCAATCAATTTCACAGCTCTTCACTTTATGCTCCACTGTTGGATGATCCCCTACCTTCTCCTGTGCTTTCTGAAGATATTCCTGTTTTCAGGCTTGACGATTCAGATGCACAGGTTGAGACAAGTAATTTGAACCCTGGGATTCTAAAACAAGATATAGAAGCAAATGGTGAGTTTGGTATTGTTTTAGTGCATGGGTTTGGAGGGGGAGTCTTCTCTTGGAGGCATGTGATGGAAGTGCTTGCTTGCCAGGTTGGTTATTCGGTTGCTGCTTTTGATCGGCCTGGTTGGGGATTGTCCTCTAGGCCAAGCCGTATGGACTGGGAGGGAAAAGAGTTGCCCAATCCTTACAAGCTTGAAACTCAGGTTAGGTTTCACTCTGTTTTGGATGTTATTTGCTTATTTAGAAGTGATGTGCTTTTGTGGCAGGAAGGAGATATTACCAAGTTAAAGTGTTATACATGTAGTTGGAATGCTTTTTTTTCCCTTCTTTTTTATCTTATATAAGCCACATTTTGCGCCTCCTAATTTTTTGATCTTCAGTTTAGTTTTGAGTTTTAATTGGCTTTTTGCTGGATCTTTATATACTTCGATTTAGCTTTTTGACTATCATATGAAGCTCATAAGTATTACCTGATATTATCAGGTTGATTTGCTTCTTTCCTTTTGCTCTGAGATGAGGTTTTCTTCAGTGGTGCTTGTTGGCCATGATGATGGAGGTCTTCTTGCTTTAAAGGCTGCACAAAAAGTCCAAACCTCAATGAATTCATTCAATGTGAGTAAGCTCCCATGATTTTTCTGTAGTGATTTGGATTTTTTGACAACAGAAGTGCATCTTTCTTCACTACTGTAATTTATTGGCACTTTTTGCTGTTGTATAGCCGCTTGAAGCGCTGAAACAAGAAAATATCAGGGCTGGCTGTAATAATGTGTTTTTTACCTACAGTAGATCGGTAAATAAACAAAAAGTTAAGTCTATTTACGTTGAGTCTGGAGAAGTAATTCTGAGAAGTGACCAGTTTACTGGTTTTATTTTTAGCATTTTCGGGGAATCTCACTTTTTCTCCATAAACTTTACTGCAAGGGTCATTTTGCGAATTTGACATTTGTCAACTTTTTATTGACCAGATAACATCATATATGTGACTGTTCTCTTAATGTTTACTTAAGAAATCCATATAGAAGGAATGAAAAAGAGTGAACATTGGTATCTTAAAATAAAGGGAAGCGGCTTAATACCGCTCGGTTCTTACTTCTATAGTTTGTTTTGTGGTTTACTCAGATTACAATCAAAGCAGTGGTTTTGCTAAATGTTAGCTTGTCAAGAGAAGTTGTTCCCGCCTTTGCAAGGATACTCTTGCGCACTTCACTTGGGAAGAAGCACTTAGTCCGTTCGCTTCTGCGAACAGAAATTACACAAGTGGTGAATAGACGAGCATGGTATGATGCAACCAAGTTAACAACAGAAGTTTTGAGCTTCTACAAGGTAAATTTTCTGCAAGATTATAAAACATTGAATTGATACCCTTACTAGTTTGTTTTACATTATGATTTGCTGAACTGATCTTCCTTTGATCAGGCCCCACTATGTGTTGAAGGTTGGGACGAAGCACTTCATGAGATAGGCAGGTTGTCACATGAAACAATCCTTTCACCCCAAAATGCAACATCGCTGTTAAAAGCTATTGAAGAGATGCCGGTATTGGTGGTTGCTGGTGCTGAAGATGCCCATATTTCGCTTAAATCTTCGCAGGCCATGGCTTCAAAACTTGTAAATTCTGTAGGTATATTCAGCAACAATGGATCTCCTCTGCTCTCAAATTGAAAGGAATGTTTACCATTTCCGCGTTTTCTTGCAATAAACAAATCAGACCTGTTGAGTAGATAGTTGACGAACAACTACTGTCCTGTTTCCTGATGTCGCTATATTTGTTGCCATGCAGAGACTGGTTACAATATCCGGCTGCGGCCATCTTCCGCATGAGGAATGCCCCAAGGCATTACTTGCAGCCATTTCACCTTTCATAAGCAGAGTGCTACTCAAACCAGAATAGCATAGTTAGTAGGACGCCCTCTTTTCATTTCTTGCTTCCATCTCTTTTCCTTTACTTTTCCCCCCTCTCGTTTCAAGCAATCTTTCCCGAAAGGACAAGGTGATCCGGGCCTCTTCTATCGGGTAAATTTTGAGCATTGTTTCAGATATAGTTTGGACACTTCTTTTGTACACTTGTGGAAATTGGTTATGAATGCATTTGAGCATTGTTTCAGATATAGTTTGGACACTTCTTTTCACATAGTCCACCGGGATTTTACCATAGAGTTGCAAATTAAAGCCACCATAATTGGCTACTGAATAACTAAGACAAAAAGACGAGCAAACATTTTTTATTATTGAGGTTTCCTGGTCCAAACCAATTCGAAAACTAACAGAGATCAATTACATAAACTACTCCTTCGAAGATTTGTTGATAAGTGATTTGTGAATGTGCGGGATAACACCTCCGCCTGCAATGGTTCCTTTGATTAGGGTGTCGAGTTCTTCATCTCCCCGGATGGCAAGCTGCAGATGCCTAGGTGTAATACGCTTAACCTTCAGGTCCTTGCTTGCATTACCGGCCAGTTCTAGCACTTCTGCAGTAAGGTACTCCAGTATGGCAGCTGTGTACACAGCAGCTGTTGCTCCAACCCTTCCATTTGCTTGAGCCCTTGTCTTCAGCAACCGGTGGACTCGGCCTACAGGGAACTATAGGAGTATATGTAAAACAATAAGCAACTCGAAATGATTTTGAAGAATTAACTCTACTTTTCCTAGAGTGTGAAGTAGAATAAAATACAGTCTATCGACTATAGCACATAACAGATAATGATGTGCCAATGTGTCTTGACCACATTCCCAAAACCCAATTTCTGATAGGACAGCTTAGGGTGCAGAATACTTTCTTCATTCAAAAACGGAAAAAGATGATGATTTGGAAGACTAGAGAATCTACTAATTATAATGAACACAATCAAAATACAAGTACAGAAGACTTGCTAGTATGAATTGGCTTATCCAAACTGTTCTTGAAGAATAATATATAATCAATTCAACCAGCGTAACAAACTACAACAATCTAACGAAAAAAAGTTCATGGTTTTAGGTGGCCTAAACGGTACGTAAAAGTAACATGCATAGCAGTTCTCACAATTAATAAGACCTCAACAGACAACATCATGCACATGAGCAATTTGCTCATCCTCCAAATTGCAGTCTCCGAAGATTTTAATTTAAAATACGTTTTTACTGTCCACAGAATAATGAAGCAGGTAACATGATGATAACATCAGTTCAACCCTTCGGATATGACAAAAAGTTAGAAATTAAAATGATATGATTACTAGTTTAAACATTCATACAGAAGATTCAGAACTGCTAAGCACGAATACCAACACTTGTTCCGTCATCAATGCTTAGCTCTTTTACAAGCGCCATTCCAAGCATGAATTCTTCAATTTTATTTTAGTTTCGTTTCTAACACTTGACACCTACAGTAGTTATACTTATGTTTCCAGTTCAATAAGCCTTGACGGAAGCACTCAAAAACGATAACTCATGATCCGAAATGCTCTGGCTGAATAAACTGTTGTTCGATTTTAATTAATATGCAAGCAGTTACATTTTTTGCCTGGTTACCAAATGCTACTACAAACCATCCACCTTTTGACATGAAATAATCAACCCAAACAATAAAGAACTGAGTATTCCATTCCCCTTCTAAATAGTTTCACCAAGGAATTCAAATTCACGCAAACTTTTACTAATGTAACAGGTAATTCACTATATGTATAGTGTACCTTTTAAGCTCATTGAGTTAAGCCAATGAGAGAAAACCAAGCATCATATTCTTATAAAAAATATCTGTTTACAAAACCTGTGGTAGTAATAGTAAGTACCATAATACATCCCAAAACAACAGATAAAAGCATATCAAATGGCACATTTTAGCTAAGCATTTGTCTCAACCCTTCAGAAAAAAATTCTACAGCTCAATGGAATAAGGAAATTACATACAAATTTAAGGCACTAGATGAAAGAGAGTAGCCAGCAGAAACAAGCAAACAAACAACCACAAATGAACAAATTCTAAGATCACACTCATCTTGTACGAAACAATTTAAAAGATCAAATTCTGTACTCAGCAACAACTACCACCGATCTTTTGAAAAATGGAAGAATAAAATTAACAAAAGAAAACATCTTATTTTTCTTGATCTTGCCTACAATTAAAGAATGCTTAGAACAATCAAATCCATAAAAACAAATGTATATATATATACATCTAATTCACCGAATCTATCATATGAGAAGCTAAATCGAGCAGAGAATTGAGAAAGAAGGGGGGTAGGAACCTGGAGACCGGCTCGAGAAGAGCGAGAGGTGGGTTTCTTCTTGTCCTTGTCTTTATCCTTGGTGGATTTGCCAGCCGTAATCAACCCTTTCGCTCCTTTACCCGACATTTTCCCGCCTGAAAATAAAAATGAATGCTTTGAAGCGACTGACGTCGAAGAGAAAAAGGTACTTTGGGAGAACGAAGAAGGTTTTTTAGGCGGTGAGATGAGAATGGAAGACTCCAGAAGACTCCCCCAGATATTGGCCCCACTTTCCCCATATTACCCTCTTTACCTCTTTTAATTTACTATTTAAAAAGGGGAATAAACACTATTTACTCCCCCGTCTTGACAACTAGTCATAACTTGGTCCTTATTTTTCATATTAGTCCTCAGATTTGACAATTTTTCTCAAATTGATTCGTTTTTTAGTCATTTGATAACATGATACAAAGTTTATGGATTAAGTTGAAAAAAGTTGTCTAATTTTAAGACTCTATGGAAAAAAAAGCTAGGAGTAAATATTATTTTGTTCCTTTGTAAAAAAATATTTTAAAAAGGAATGACATCAAACTACAATTTATTAGTTTATTTATGATTATAATAAAATTTAGAACTCAAAATGAACTAATTTATGAAAATAACATTTAATTTTAATTATTAAAATAATACTCGATCAATATTATTTATAAAAATGATTCCTTTTTCATTACATAAGACATTACACCTTTAACCTACATAAAGTAAATGTAAAACCTTTATATTCTGATTGATTGAAGCGAAAATATATACTAAGAATCTTTTGATTGATTGAAGCGAAAATATATACTTAAGAATCTTTTGATTGATTGAAGCCAAAATTTCACAATACTATATTAATGGAGGTCTACTTCCATGTTCTTTCCTTCTCTCAAATGCCTTCCTGTTTATATCCTTTTTCATATTTAGCAATTAAGAATAAAAATTATTTTTAATGGAAATAAAATAAAAAAGGTTCAATTTTCATATCCAAACATTTAGATTTCCTCACCAGCTTATAATATTTCCAAGATTAAAAAGAAAATTGCCAATCCCTTCGTCCAGAGAAAGCAAAAATTTAATTAATTTTTGCTTTAAATACATAAATATCTGACGGGATTAGATGTGTTTCAGTTTTAGCTAAAATAAATCCCTTTTTCTTTTTTCAAAGAATTTGATCTAAACGGATCAAATTAGTAAAATTTTTTGAAAATTTTTCTTGTATTCTTGTTAATTCGGAGAAATGAAGAAGAAAAAGGTGGCTGTACCATTAGTTTGCCATGGGCATTCAAGGCCGGTAGTTGATTTGTTCTACAGCCCCATCACCCCTGATGGCTTTTTTCTTATCAGCGCCAGTAAAGGTGAATCTTTTAATTTCTTGTTGATTCATGGGGCTTCTTTTGAAATCATGTTTTACCATATGCATGAATTTAGATACATGAATGTTGAATTGGGTTTGGGTTTTCCGATTGATTTAGCCTGTTCTTGATCGTATTGATTTTCGGCTTTGAATTTATTTCTTTTAACTGTTTTGAGCTGACATTTGGCTATTATTTACCAGATGCAAAGTATAATTATTATGTAACTTGAAATGGAATGATCATTTTGAAAGATGGCAATCTAGTTATGGTTGATCAGGCTGTTGATGTGATTTGTTTTAATGTTCTTGTTGATCATTTCTTCTTCCATAATCCATTTTTATTGCATACTGTGATGTCGATGAACCGTAATGTAGCTTCTTGTTTATCAACTCTCTTTCTAACGATGCATTGGAAAATTCAGACTCCACTCCAATGTTAAGAAACGGGGAGACAGGAGATTGGATTGGCACATTTGAAGGGCATAAAGGTGCAGTATGGAGCTCCTGTCTAGATACCAAAGCATTACGCGCTGCATCTGCCTCGGCTGATTTTTCTGCGTACGTATTCGTTGTTCGGCCGTAAAATAACATTTTTGGGAAGACACCAAGTTCCACCTTTGTAACCCATTGTCTTTTGCCACTGCATTTATTTTCTATTAACCACTCTCCTTAAAATAAAGGGACCTCATCCTTGTGGTCTACTACACTCCGAGTTCTATATTAACTAGTTGTTAAAAGTTTGGTGAGAATCCCAAGATATTCTCTGGTTGGCAAGTGTTTAGTGGTGTGCACTTGTTAGTGTATTGCTATTGAAAGGATGCCTCTTTCTATTTATAGGGAATTGCATGTGTATGAACTGCTAAAAGCTGATATTAATTTTCTTCTTGTCGTTATTTTAACACCGCTCTCTCTCTCTCATGCACACACTGTCATTTTCTGCGAGGATGATTGTTTGAAAACTGGAATTTATCATTTTCTCCAATATTTCCAGGAAATTATGGGATGCGTTGACTGGAGATGAGTTGTACTCATTTGACCACAAGCATATTGTTCGAGCATGTGCCTTTTCGGAGGTAGAGCTTAATTGTTTTTCCTTAAGAATTAATTTTCCCTAATTATAAATGTGCAGCGTTTAATGCTTATGCCCACTGCAATGTTATTTCTGAATTCTGATAGGGATGGCCTGAATAGCAAGTACTGTTTCAGATTTGTTTCTCAGGGGCAATTTTTTTTTTGGGATGATATATAAGCACTACTTCTTTCTTTTAGATATTATTGCATGGGCATTGTATTTCTTGTGATGCCATTTGGTAAAGTTCTATCAAGGTTGTGTGCGCTGACCAAATATAAGAACGCTTCTAAAGCAACCAACTTTGAAAGAACTACATTGATTCAATGGTCTGAATTCTTATTTTGAAAAGTGTGTACGTTCTTCTTTTTCTATGTTCTGTTTCTCTCGTGTAGCTTCATCACTTGAATTGCATATCCTCTTTGTTTAATGGACTGAAGTTGCAAAGTCATTAAGTGGGCTTCAGAGAATGCTTTTTCATTTTTCGCGAGACCATCACAAATTTTAAAAATTTGCTTGCACTTAATACATAATATTGAGTTCAGATTGCAATTAACTTCTTGAGGCTTGCACTTTCATTCCTGGTTCATTAATATGCTCTTCTGATGAAGATAAATTTATCTATCTTTGCTTTCCCCTTTTATTATCTGTTTGCATCGTCCGAGTAAATTGTCATTTGTACAGGATACACACCATCTACTCACGGGTGGAGTTGAGAAAATCCTTCGCATATTTGATTTGAATCGTCTAGATGCAGATCCAAGAGGAGTGGATAATTCTCCTGGTTCAATTAGAACCGTTTCATGGCTCCACGATGACCAGATCATTTTAAGTTCTTGCACTGATACTAATGGTGTTAGGTACAAATGTAATCTGCTATCACCTTCCCATTTTCTTTTGCGAGTTAGGAGCTTGTTTTAGTTCAGATATTTTTCATACGTACCATTATTGTCTTGAATTAGTATTGTCAGTTTAGGTCCTTTGAGATAAGGTGTTTGATAGGTAGACTATTATCTGCTTGCTTTGAGCACTGACTTAGTATAACGGATGCATATCACTTCTTAATAAGGCACTTTGCAGGTAATATTAGTCCAATAGTTGACATTATAAATTGTTTTCTAGTATAACCAGCTAGAAAGTTGTAAAATTTTCCAGATATTTGATGGGATTTTACTAAGTAAACAAAAGAGAAAATGTAGTACTTTTAGTTTAGGTTATTCGTAAATATTCCCTGTATATATACACACTGATCTATCATCTACCTATATATATATATATGCATGCATGTATGCTAAAAACCATGTCTTCCATATTTGATTGTTTGGTGTATTCTTAAACCTTTGATGCACTAGTTTATTAAAAGTAAATTACAGATGTTAAGGAAAACATTCATTGTGTCATTTTTACTGAAGCATTGATTTTCACACAATTATATGCTTGTCTAAAAATGATTTCCTGAACTTTGTACCTCTATAGGTTGTGGGATCTCAGAAGTGGCAAAACTGTTCAAACACTTGAGACAAAATCACCTGTCACAAGTGTTGAAGTGAGTTGTGACGGTCGCTATATAACCACAGCTGACGGATCTACTGTTAAGTTCTGGGATTCAAATCAGTAAGTTCTAAGCTGGATTGTCTGCAAAACTTTATTCTTTTGCCACCATGACCGCTGACATTTGTATTTACTCTTTTTAGTTTTGGGTTGGTTAAAAGCTACAACATGCCGTGCAATGTAGAATCAGCTTCACTGGAACCAAAGAATGGCAATAAGTTCATTGCTGGGGGAGAAGATATGTGGGTGCGTGTGTTTGATTTCCATACCGGAGAAGAGCTTGGTATGTGCCTCTTGAGTTGTGAGATGAATTGAAATATCAATTCAGACTATACGTCTGCGGCTTCAATATTAGCTAATGCCGAAAGTTGGTATTTTGGCAGTGTTTGAAGCACTCACGAGGGTGCATTACGACATGTTTCCTATTACACCCTGAAACAAAAACTCAATAGAATGATAAATATGCTGCTAGTCAAAAAATTTAAAAATATAAAAATCCGGGAAATGTACAGGGTGGATCCAATCGAGCAGATGAGCTCTGTTATTTAGTGTGTAAAACTGATTGTATGTTCTTTCTTATGGGTGTTTTTCAGATTGTTAAGAGTTCAAAACTTTCTTTTATGATTGTAGGTTGCAACAAGGGTCACCACGGTCCTGTCCACTGTGTACGTTTCGCACCGGCAGGGGAATCCTATGCCTCAGGATCTGAAGATGGTACCATTAGAATATGGCAGACAAGTCCAGTGATTCGTGAAGAGAGTGAACCAGTACCTGGAAATGCACCGAATCCGAAAGTGAAGGCTGTGGCTGATGAGGTTTACCGTAAGCTCCAGACCCTTCAGGTCGGCAAGGAAGGGAACACCCCAGAGAGGGGATAAGGAACCCGATGCACGACATAGTATTAAATTTGTCAAGGGCATTCAACAAGTGTTTTGTTTTCAGCTTTGCTTTCCAGGTTGTAGGATTATGATGGGTGTGTGTTGTTTGCTCCTTGTTTCTCTACGGAAATAAAATGAACCCTCCTTTCAAATTTCCTTATATATTCCTCTCGAGTTGGGTTTGAAAACTTGAATTCAGTTTGATAATTGTCAAAAAGTCTAATTTGAGCTTAAAACTTCTATCTATGGAGGAAGCTGAATTTTTAGTATTCTAATAATTGAGATTAAAGGTAAGTACCGAGTCGGATTTATTTTTTACTATTGAAAAGAGCGTAATCGAAACTGATAATAATCTTCCTTTTCCGACTGATCTTATCCTTGGCATGCTCGTTGACTGCTCACATTTTGCCAAACTCCATCTCCATCAGTCCTTGTAAACCAACGGCAACATCAAGCTTTTCCTCGACAATAGTAATGAGAACGACAATAATGCTTATTCGGTGAACTTCGGCTCCCTCAGCCACTTGATGCAGTTTCCTCGCCTATTTACAGTTGAAACCACCAAGTACCGCTCCAGAGTTATTGGGTTCTTGCAATGGATTGCTTGCCGTATACCATCACGAAGCAGGGCATTGCTATATGGAATCCATCGACCTGGAAATGCCATTATCTGCCACCATTGACTGAAGATATAACCACGGATCATGGTACCATCCCTGGATACGACTACAACAACAATACCATACTCAGATTCGGGTATGATGGTATCGCCGATGACTATAAGATGGTGATAATGCTAAGATCAAAGACCCAAATCTTCTTCAAAGTAATGATTTACAGTCTGAAATGCAAGTTTTGATAGAGTATTGCTGGATGAAGGTGGAGGTCGTCAGCCCGCTTGGTCCAATATGGCAGATTCTTTGTATTCCAAGCGCACCCCAACTTGTTTCTACAATGATTTATGTTGAAAGCATTGTCTATGTCCATTAGAAAACATGATTGATTTTAAGAGCTTAACTACTCTGATAATTTCATGCATAGATTTCATTCTATTTGCTTTTGGAGTCATTGATGTCAAGGATCAAATCTTAGAGTCGATTCATGCAATTATTGATATTCAAGCTCAGCCCTGCACTTTTTTCTCCAATGATTTAAGTTGATTCTGTTTTCTAAAATACCTGACCTTATAAACTCAGGCTTAGTAGTGATTTCATCAGTAAAAAAAATATTACCAGCGCCGTTAAATATAAAATCCTATTAAGATTTTTTTTAATAATCTAAATGATTCAAAGATATACAAAACATAACCTTTAGTCCAAGTCATTAGGATTTTACAACAGACTTGAAGATTACAAGTTCAGTAACAAAATTTTTATATAATCAGCCCAAATTCCTCCCTGTCTTAAGAAATCTCATAAGTACAGATTATGCTAAACAGTATTATCTGGCTTAAAATTGTGTGCATTTGTCTCTTCTCAAGCGTGAGACTTACATGATTAAAATTATCTGGCTTAAAATATTTCACCTGTGCACTCCAAGCAACTACCAAGATCCTTATCATACATACCCACCACGGGAGTTGAGTTCTTCAGATGGCCCTAATAGAGTGAAGTCAATTAGATTGCTCTTGAAAAAAACACTATTTTTCATTTTCTAAATAACTAGTGTCAAAACATTTTGATTCATGTTTCCACATTTAGAGATAAACAATTGAATTAGGCAACAAGTCATTATCAAATTGAAAATTGACTTCGGTAGAAACGACAATTTCTTCTCCTCTATCAAGCAAGTCTCTGCTCCATGATCTGTACATGTGACAATAAACACGGAGGAATCTAAATCAAAGGCCAATTAGCCATGGTATGTTATGATTATGAGTACAAACAGGCTCTTAGATAACATGCATTAGCCAAAGCATTCACGTGTGTCAAATTCGTAGTTAAATAGTAACCACTCAAAAGTCTCAAAAGAACATTGTAAAGGTGGAACAAGTGTAAATAACAAATAATCAAACAGAACTTACCATTGGAAGGAACCTACCTAGTACATAAAAATATGCATTGAAGCACTTTAAGTCCATACTGCATGCAACAACAACAAATAGGAATCCAGTATTTAAATTTCTAACACTCTTCTAGTCAAACATCAATCTAAAAAGCCTCACGAATCATTAACAGTTGATCAAGAGAAGGGAAAAGAATATGTTACCGGCATGACGGATTCTCATGAACTGTACATAATAAGGGAAAATCAACAAGTTAACCACAGCATGAATCGTTTGTCATGCAGAATCCACAGAAAACAAAATATACAAATTATAAATTACATGATGCAGGAATTTTTCTTACAGAACATCTCACATGGACAGGCAATGATTTTCAACTGGGAGTTCTTCAAGGGGTTCAGAAGCACCCATCTAACAATATCAGACAACCACTTGCGAAGTTAAAAAAATCATTTGATCATGGTACGCAAATGTCTTGTCTAATGTCATCAGTATGTTCAAATTTGTTCATACAATTAGAATGCTTAAGGCCACAAATTATAATTGTCTGGTTTGAAGGTGATAGGATATTCTAGTCTACTCAAGTTAATACAAGTCCCCCCTCCCCCCACACACAGGGAGAGTAGGTGAGGTTCAGAGCAATTTATCAATTATGCAGACTATAATGTTCTAGTATTGGATATGATCATCCAAATAGACCAAAATTAATGGTTATTACAACTTGAATTCTTAAATTAAAACTGCAACCTATCAATTTACAAATTAAAACCGAAGGCTGTTTTTTAAGATTGTCTTGATTTACCAGTATTTCAAAAGACAAACCAAAATTCGAAAAGATTCATAAAAATATCCATACCAAAAGCAAGGTTTAAGGGATCCATTGGGGAATAAACCATAGATGTTGCCCACTGGTCAACAGCAAGAGGTGGCAAAATTTAAACCCAATCATGGCTCTTGAAGCTATATATGGATGCCTCCAACAGTGACAATGAGATACTCTGAGAAAGCACCAAGACATTGCCCGACATAAATTCCATATAATACTGAAATAAAGAAAGTATAATATTTATACCCACCATTAAAGGATGATTTGATAACATATATAAAACTGCAGATACATACAATTCCAGGTAGAATCCATTAACGAGCCAGCACCACATCACAATTTACAAGAGCCAAATTGATGAACATGGACAAGATCAAAGATAACTCAGACAAAAAAGTAGAAATTAAATATTCCTGGCTACCAGGCTCTACTAGATGCAATATTCTGAAACTTGGGAACTTATATAACGGAATCCATCATAGAGTAGCCTTCCCCGTAACTTAACTGTACTTTCGCTTCTTTTCATTCAAATGCTATTTTTCAACAGTCAACATTATTGCTTAGAGGAAGTAGTCTTCTACTCTGATGAGTTAATAATGACACAGCCACCAAATAGTACTACACAACTACAAAATCGATGAGGGAAAAATAAAGAATAAAACTTCACACATAAAGATGGGATATGAGAAAAAATAATTTTATCTTTACATATATGCAGCACCAAGTAAAACATAACACTATAGTATAATTAGATGCTATTATTTCATTGAATCTAGTAACAACAGAACGAATGCCTATTATCACTGTGTCTCAACTTTCTTAGCTCCCTTAGATGTTCATCATTCGAAATATTAAGAGTGCAACGTAGAGTTGTCACATTTGCTTCTTCTTCCCATGTCAAAGGCCCAGAAGCATACAATGCCTCAAGAGCCTGCTGATAGGCATGTAGCTCCAACCTGCGGAAATCCATTCCCAATCCTTCACTAATACCACCAGAACTAGCTTCTTCTCCACATTTCCTTTCACAATAAGTGTCAACAACGCTACAAGAATCGTCCAAGTTTTCACAATCGTTTGTTATGTAAGGAGACAAGTTAAGACCATTATTCCCTACACCACTACAGCTACCAACAGACGATGCACAACTCAAGGTATCACCGGTATCATCAATTCTATAAAAGGAAGAAGGCGTACATCTTTCACCCCGTATACTATTTGGGGAAACAAACGCATCTACCTTTTCAGAAGCTGGAGAAGGAAACCGAACTATTATCCTTTTACCATCAAAACTACCCTTTTCAATAGCCCTCTTCTTCTGCCCACCAGCACCCGAGAAGCCAATCGAAGATCTTTTCCTCTTATGTGAGGAATTTGACGAACCCTGTTATCAACATAGCGACTGGGGTAAGAATCAATAACGTTCAATAAATAAACAAATGAAGAAAAGATTAAAAACTATTGCGAAAAAAATACCTTTCCCACGAGGAACCACTTGCCATCTTCCCACGACTGTCGAACACGCAGTCGAGATCGATGTACTTCCAGTTCTAAATTCGATCCAAGAATCCTCACAGAAAAGTTGTTTCCACCGAAAACAGTAACCATCACGGCCGATTTCCAGCACAGGTCATCGAACACCTCTACGATATCGCCAGGAAACCAATCAACGGTCCCGTTTATAGGTGGAGGGCAAGGCCTAATCGCTTTTCTAAGGACTCTCTCCACCGTCCCCGCCTCGCCAGTGAACGGAAAACAGCCGTACCTGACGCTGTAAGTGTGGCCGTTACCGGAGATGATCTCGGCGCAGCGCCAGGCACCTGTTGGTACCTCCTCCTTGATAAGGACCTCGACTTTGCTACCTTTACTAAATCTCATGATCGGCGAATTTGATTGAAATCAATGAAATTGGCGTTATAAAAAAATATAAGAAAACAAAGAATGAACAAATTTGGGGAAGGAGAGTTAAAATGAAGCTTATATAGGGATCAGGGCTTTATTAAGAGTTTATTATGATCGGACGGTTAATAAAGGAGGGGATCGTCCAATGTATCCGACGGTCAGGACGAGGTGCTTAGGTTAAGCCGTTCACCTTGCCAACTAAAAACTCTCAGGTGGAGTTAGTTGCTTATACATACTTTACTTTATAATATATTTTATAATTATATACATATAATCTATTTTATGGTAACTATCCTATTAGTCATTAAATTTTAGTTTATATATCAATTTAGTCACTAAACTTTAAAATACTTCAATCTTAGCACTAAACTTGCAACATTGTTTTTCAACCATGATCTTCAAATGACTGTTTAAATAGATACTATTCTGCACTTACCCAAAATTAATAAAAGAAACAATGACCATCAAATCATCAATAACATGGTGATGTGATTATTTCATCCGTATTTTCATATAAAAGATTGACATTTTTTTATTATTATCGTCGGTCAATTATAGTGCTCTACTTGTCATCATTCATGGTAAAAATTGGAATATTTTTATTTTACCTTTTCTTTTTTTCTTAGATTGATCTTTCATGAAATCAATTCAAAATCAATAGAAAATTTAAATATTTGACATTCTAAATCTTTGATCTTCTCTAATAGTAGTTCGACGAGGCTATTTTGAGGTATGCTGCTCATATTCTCGAGATAATGTTTTTTATTATTTATATTTTTAACAAATACTTCAAACCCTTAAATCTAAAAAGTCCACAAACCCTCGATATTATAATTTTTTATGTATAATTTTATGACTTTTAAAGAGATTTTGAAAAATCTAAATCAACAATGTGATATAGGACAATAAGATGAGTTTATCGGTATTTAGGATGATCGTTAAAAATAATAAAATATAATAATTTTCAATGATATATGAAAATATAAAAATCTAATCACGATGAAGATGGTGAGATATAATAAAAAAATATTTTTTTTTATTTTCATGTCAACACTAAACTATCATGTCGTTCATGTGTTTATGATGTAACGGTTTAATAAAAAAAATCAATGTTTAGAAATCTCTTTATTAATTGATGTGTAGAAAATTTATAAAATTAACAACAAATATTAATACCAAATACACAGATGTACCTAAGTTTTAGATTTGTGTACCTAATTTTTCAGATTTGTATGCCTAACAAATATTAGTTTTGTGAAGGAAAGACAGAGTGGTAGATAGAGGAAAGTAGGTTCCCAAGTTAGCAGACTAATAATTCAGTATTAAAAATGCAAAAGCTTAAACAATAGCATGACGTTAACTAATCATTCACTAAATATAAAAAATATTTACTTTTATATTTATTTCTTCGTTTTATATTTTTCGGTTGTATTTATTATCAAATCTTTCGTTGAATCCCAACTCGACTAGTGTTGATATAAAATCCAAAAAAAAATTAATATGATTTTCTGAAGCATAGAGAACATGTTTTATTAATAATGGTAATAATAATAATAGCAATATTGAAATAAAAATGCTTATCTAAGAATCCAACTTCATGTAGGGTAGAGTAGAATCTTGTGGAGAGGGTTTCATGTTGCTTTGAACCCGAAGCAAACTAAACCCTCTGCTTTTGTTTAGGTGGGTCAATGAATACATGAAGAGAAATGACCATCTAGCTCAGTTGGTAGAGCACAAGGTTATTAACCTTGAGGTCGTGAGATTGAGTCCCACGAAGGGCATTTTATAATTCAGAGGTCTCTTACGAAAGCTGCTCTCAACCTGGTGTTGGGGGTAACCTACTATCTTACCTCCCCCTTATCCCATGCATATGGGAAAAAGGGACAGCCATTTAATGAATACATGAAGAATTAAACAATCATTTTATGTGGAAAAAAATTTAAAGCTCTAAATTGACAACCACTACAATTTCATCAACAAATACTATAACTTCAAAACCTACCCAAACGAAACAAGGAGACAGTAAAGTCCTAACTATGATACCCAAGTCAGCAACAATCATATCTTCAGCCTACCTCAAAGCAATCTCAATTTTTTTTGGATATAGCCACCGCTGTCAGACTAACTAGCCGACTAATCCGATCAGGCAATGTAGAGACCTTTTAGGGATGACTCAGACCAATTTTTCCATTCACAATGCCAAGACTCAAACCCATAACCTTACTTACGACACGTAACACATTATTATACTAGATCAACTGATAGTTTGTAAGCAATCTCAATCTTAAAATAACTACAAGACACACCAATGCAGTTCCATATCCGAAATAAGAACCAATGAATGGTAATCACTCATGAAATTATTCCCTTCCACCACGTCTTGAAAAAGTTAAAAGCGTAGAATTAATTTAAAAAGGAAAACAAAGAGCTTCATGTTTCATACATGGTATTCAATAAAGGGTCATAAGCATTTCAGGCTCGAGCACCGGAAGGAGGATTGCTTAATACAGTTGTATCCATCTTAACAACAACAAAGGAACCAAACGTAACATGTTAAAAGACTAGCTGCCTCTAGAAGAACTACTAAAATCACAAGGTTGTGTTCGACAACTACCACTTAAAAAGGAGTTTGGACATTAATTATTAATGTAAATTATTACATCGCATTCATGGGTGCATTTCATTCTCGAAAATTAAAATATATTCTTGTCACTATTCAAGCATTTAAGTTTAGATGTATTTGCTCCAAAGAAGCAAGAGTGCAATATACATTAATTAATCATCTTACCAAAATTGTTCCACTATTGGATATGTTCATTCTAGAGATGCAAAATTATAACTAAAATTCTCAAGTACCTTTTAGGGGGTGGGAGCAGGGGGGAAAGAAGAAGACACAATTGTCTTTCTGTAATTGCAACTGCAACCTATCAATTTACGTGCTAACCGTAGGGCAGCTTTTAAGATTATCTTGTTTTTCTGCAACAAGGAATGCAAAGATCTATACTAGCATTTCCATAGATAAATCAAATTGCTTTGTCCTCCAAACTGATCCTCTTATCCTATATTGCAGGTGATGATATCGTACCCTACAAATATGGAGAAACATCTGCTCATTCCTTGAGTGCGGCCGGATTTCGGAACCTCACATTTAAAAATGAAGGGTAAACTACATAATACCAGTAATAAACTCATTGCTAATTCACAAAACCAGACAACATTTAAAGTCTTGATCTGGCTGCGCAGGATTGGTCATTACACTGTCCGTAAAGAGAGGAAAGAGGTCTGCAATTGGCTGACAGCAAGGCTGGGGCTCGAGGGGTCACGCTAAATATAGCAAAGAATCGGTTTTTACGTCAAACTAGCTGAGTAAGGAACAACATGGAAGCAATAATAGTGTTAAGAGAGAAAACTGCATATGTAGGTAGTAAACAAAAGAGTTTGTTAGGGTATATGGTATAGTTGAGTAGCCTTCTTAAATCCCCTTCAGGCTTTTTTACCTATCCTAAAAATAAAGTTTCGGATGCGTTTTTCGGTACGGATGTAGGGTGCAGATCGTAATAGTCTATCCAGCTGTACTTTCAGAGCATTTTGACATTAGTTAATAAAATATATTGATATTTGCCATTTGGCTTCTGTGTTCATGTGTTTTCCTTTCTAGCCTATCAGCATCCTGCACTAATGGAAGCTCTGTCTAGCAGTTATAGAATTCGGTTCTGATGTTATCGATGTCGAGTAATTTATTACGGTGAAGGCTTCTTGATGTCTTAAGGACCAATGTGACAATAGGAACTAAGTTGAAAGACAGAACATGAGATGAGCATCTGCCTGATCTACACGTCGAAAATTAATGCCTCTGGTGCACTCTTCTGATCAAGTTGGTGGAGAACACGGAGAAATATGGCGTTTTCTGGTTAAATTTTGCTAAGAAAGTCGGAAAATATTAGCCATCAAATTGAAAAGACTGATCAGAGTTGATATGGTGTTTACTTTTTGCTCGTGATGGTTTCATTTCCAGTTGGGCTTATACTAGCAATTAGTTATTATTATTTTGGTGATGAAGGTCTTGAAGATGACGAGGACCTCCAAATTTTTAGATTTAAATACTTGAATAGATTTTTGTCATTCTTAATGTTTGATCCTAGTTCAATCCCTGACGACCGGAGATTGACAGCTAACTCACGGAACAGGTTCATTTCGGAGGTTTCAAATAACTCACTTATCTTTGGACGGAGTTCTTGACTCCTTGAACTTGAAGCATATGGCGGAAGTTAGTCCATTGGATTTAATCGAAGAGGATAATGATGATACAGAAACATGATGAAGCATAGGAGATAATCCACCTGGATGCATGCCTAATAGTGGAAGGCCAGTTTTCCGAACAATGTGCCTTGAAATCCTTTTAGCTTTACAAATTGTTACCATTATTATTTCTTTTAATATACCAATGAGTGAGCTTCAACCTACTTAAAATGTTATTGACCATTACGGTGTTACAATTACGATCATGTCAGAACCGTGATTTGTCATATCAATATCACAAGTTAAATAACCATATTGATTAATATTTTAGGTTCAAGAGCTTTCTTGAGTGTAAAAAATCCGATAACTTAATTGGTTTTCCTCTTCAAAAGTTTAGGGGACCCTTGAAACTTTACAAAAGGCAATCTCCCGGGTCCATCAGTACATGTGTTTACAATGAATATATGCTTCAATGCCTTATGCTCTGTTAGCAACAAGAAATGACCCAAACCTACTTTCATTGCTTGAAACTCGACCGAACATCATTTGGCATATGTAACTGCCATTCATTCGGATGTAAGGCAAACCCTGACAGCATTAATCAGCTCGGTGAACAACTGAACATGCTATTTCCGAATCCCGTGTTTACAGAAACAATCCATGGTGGTTAACTATCATCCATATACAAAAGAAAAACTTTCTATTTTCTAAATTTGATCGTATTGTTCAGTTGTTCCAACATTGTCATAGACTGATCACTCATGTATCTATTTTCAAGAAGCAAAATATAGTAGAAGGACAAATAAATAAATAAATGTGAAGAAATGTGATATTTATTTAAAAGCCTTAACAAGTCAAGGTCGTCGTACATAATAACGTATGTAACCTTTTATCTTTATCATCTTCCAGAGTCGAGGAGAGCAAACAAGTTGAGTTTGAATAAAGCAAAAATACCTACTACAATCTTGAGATTCAATAGCGACTTATTCGGGCTTTGGATTGCCAGAGATATCCTTGAGCTTTTCTTTCAGTTCTCCATTCTACACAAGTACAAATACAAATGCATCAGCTATAAGTAATATTATCTGGAGTCAGATACAGCTTTGTTTAATTTATTAAAAAGGCTATATGGAAGATCATATTCTCTGATCCTCATATTCATGTCTGACCATGTGTTGAAGATATTGTCCGACACAAATTCCCTAAGAAAAATTAAGAGCTCAGGGACAATAGGCCATAAAGGTTCCTGTACAAGTTATGCAAAGGGTGGTAAAACGTAATAAGACTTAACCTGGTGCATGTTGAGAATTATATCTGAACCCCCAATGAACTCTCCCTTTATAAATATCTGCGGAAATGTGGGCCAGTGGCTGCAATAAAATAGAAAAGTAATGAAGGAAAGAAGCACATTATATGAATATCATCTATGGACTACTAATTAACCGCTTCTAAGAAGAAAATCTATCAAATTCATCACAATGATACCATCTATCAACCCGTATAAAACTAACATCAATGAACTATTTTGACCTAAAAAAATGAAATACAACAATTATATCTAAGGCACAAAGCTGAAACACCGAATGCAAGGCTAATTCTCATTGTGGAATTTGACCTTTCGATCATAATCGCATCCAGAAAGAACACTTGAATGTAGAAATTCAACCATAAAAGTATAGAGTGAAATATCTGCAAACTTCAGTTATAGATACTTATTTGGATCTATCTAAGAAGTCCAATGCTCTGAAAAGATTTATTGACAAATTCGACATTTCATTATTTGAACAAAGAATTATGTTCACTCAAATACTGTTGAAACAAATATTTTTGCCACAGAGTAATATAACATGCTCATGTTCAAACTAAAAGGATGTAAAAGAAAAAAGGGCACTTGATTTGTGTCTTGGTCGAATTCCATATAAAATATTTTGTATTTTCTATTTGTGGACTTTTGCTTCAACCAAATGCAAACTAGGAGTCTGGAAGATACAAAAATATAAGAAATACTAATCAAAATCAACAGGAAGCTTAATATAGAGAAAAAAGAAAAATTTTGGCATAGAATCAACCAGCAGAAATCCATAACTCTGGAGAGATTTTTCACTTTTTGCGAGATACTTAAATATTGATGGAACTAAAATGGGCAGCCCACCCAGGCCACAGAACACAGGCTTCATTAAAAGATGACTATCAGCATTCAGCATGTTATTTTATTGAGAAAAAGTAAATAAAGAAGATATCATATTCAAACCACGGAAATGAGAGAACCTTAGCTAAAAAGGTGAGTTTGAGTGTCCATTCATTTTGATCAAAATCACCATTAGATTAGCCTTCAAAGTAAACTACTAGCAAAAGTGAAGTTACCTGAAGGCTTTGACAGCACTTTTCAGCTCAGGATCTTCCAGGATATTTCTTGCACTTAAAGGAATATCTGCCACAGCCAGAAATTTGATGAGAACAAAAATCGGCTAAATGCATTTGTTATCAAAACAAAAGAAAAAAAATACATCGAGCTAAACAGACATGCATGGAGCAGTCAGCAAAGACAGAGCAGGCATAAATCCTTTTGGTCATGTAATTTTCTTCTAAAGACAGAATATGAGTCATATCCAGAGAGATGCATAAGCAAGGTAAAACAAATGCAGAATCATCCATGAACATATTAATTACAGATCAAAAGCCAAATAGAGATGTGAGGAAAATATTCTCGTCACACACAATTAACACTTACTGTAGTGTTTTAACACTCTAACTGCCAAAGAGCTGAATCCGCATTGAGGAAAATCAGGTACCCCTTTCATATAAATCATCACAGGGTTTTCCTTGACATCCTAGAATAACAGTTAATCACAATCACCAATACCAAATAAAGAAAACTTCTGAGCTACAAATGGGAAGAAAGTTCCAATTTGCTTGTCTATATAACACCTAACATATCAAAGGGAATACCTACCTGTTCAACGAAACCCTTAAAAGAAACAGCAGCAGACTCCTGAACCTTATTTGTCGGTCTGAAATCTTCATGTGTATCAGGGTCACCGGGAACGGTTGAGTATTTCAACCCATTCTGGTAGAAGGATCCAATCACCTAATAACAGCAGAACCAAAATAAGGCCTCTTTAAATTAAAACATGAAAATAGTTTCTAAAAGTCCATATCCTGATTTTTAATGGAGCACAAAGAATCTTGAGACGGCTACCAGCATTTTAGAACAATATAAAGAAAGCTATTTGTGTTTAGACAAGACAATTATCTAAAACCCTAAACCCTAAAACCAAAACTAAACATAAATTGATTTCGCTACATAATGAAAGCAATGAATAATAATAAAATTAAAGATGACGAATTCAAGCATACGTTTCCATTAGATCGAGCAGCTGGGAGAGTGGCGATGGCCCTCAACAACGCGTTTGATGATAATAATCTAGCCATTACCTCTCAAATCTCCGATGATTCAAAATATCTGCACAAATTTCAATAACTAAAACCAATAGATCGCAAATGAAAGATGAACAGAAAAATGGAAATCAAATTTGTTTACCTTCGGAAAATAAAACAAAAACCCAAATGGGGAAAAGAAGGTTTAAAGCTTAAGGCCGCGTGAAGGTGTTTATTACGGAATACTGTGAAGAAAAGAAAGAAAGAAGAGAATCGTATTCAAGTCCCTAAAGTTTGACTTCATATTTTGTTAACCTCAAACTTTTGTAGCCTTTTAATCTAGTTCTTATAGTTTACAATCTTTAACAATTAAATCCTTTCATTTGGAAATTGTGTGAATCCACGGATGTAATTGTAATTTGACAATTATACGCACGGATATATTAAATATTAAATATTTTTTATTATTCGGTTAATTTGGTCGGTTAGTTCAGTTAAAATTGAAGTTTAAACACCCTAAAGCTAAATAATATATATAATATATTAAATATTTAATAATTTCAGTTAATTAACTGATTTCGAACCGAATTAATCGAAACCGAAATAAAAAAATCATTAATAATTAACCGACCGAACCCAAAATTAATCGATTGAAATTTTGATTCAATCGGGTTTAACCGAATTATAAACACTCTTACTAAGCAGTAGACATTTATTTTATAGAAGATTTGCATGTAGACACCTGGAAACACGATTCATCTGCAAAAATATTTCTGCGAACCAAGTTTGCATATCATGATCAACAGTAATCGCAGCAGAAGAAAGGCTCAAACGTAGCGGCCATTGGAACCAATTAACGTAGCCGATATTGGCAATCAATCTAACAAGATCACCCAACATAGCAGGGGCAGGGGCCTTCGCTTGACATTTCACTCCAATAAAAAATTTAAAGAATAATACAATTTTTTTTTGATAACGTAGGAACCTCTCAAGGCCAGGCTAAGAATTTGATCTTACAAGACAACCTCCGGAGATGTTAAAAGAACCCACCACTCTGTCCGCCTACTTTTTTTTCAAGATTCCCAGTCAGCGCGGTTTGAACCCAAGACATGAGACTAGCTCATAATCCCAAGAGCCCTTGGCCAACTGGGCACGACTGAGGTGGTAATAATACAACTTTAATTTTCATACAAACATTAAAACAAATAAAGAAACAATTGGCCAACTTACACATTGAGTTGGCCATTATATATGAATTGTCCCTACCGGGTGAGAACTTTTACTTTACTATATACTTTAGTGAAGATGTATGACATTAGTTTATTGTAAACTCTATGGATTTTAGATCAGTTGATGCTTCATGCTCCTTATCTTTTTCTATCCTTAAACATATTTAATTTGCAACTTGAATTACTACATATAAAAACACTGAAATTAGGTAGGAGTTTTAATATGAAAAAAAGGGTGCATGATAAAAGCTGAGTCTATGGTCAAATTTGATAATCTTAGATAAAATTTACTACTTTAATTTTTACGGTAATCAAGTACGTATATATTAATAACAGAGATTTTTCTTATGGGATAGATATAAATCAAATTTTACAATAGATACTATTAATAAATTAAATAATTAACGTAAAAAATTAAAATTTTAGAGTCAACACGAGTATATGGACATTGGACAACCCTTACAGCTGACACTGTTTGCTAGATTTGCCACTGGTGACATTGCCTGGCCTTGCTCCTATAAATAGACCTTCTCTTTCACTATCTCTTCACACCACTATGGCTATCTCAACTAGCTTCCTTCTTTTCTCAGCTTCTCTCTTGTTCTTCATAGTCTCTCCTTCTATCCAAGCTTCCTTTAGGCCTAAAGCACTAGTCCTTCCTGTCTCAAAAGATGATTCAACCAACCAATACATCACTGAAATCAAGCAAAGAACCCCTTTAGTGCCTGTCAAGTTGACCCTTGATCTTGGTGCCGCGTCCCTCTGGGTCGATTGTGACCGAGACTATGTCTCATCTACCTACAAGCCTGCCCGTTGTAACTCCGCTCAATGCAACTTGGCTAGGTCCAAGTCCTGCGGAGATTGCTTCGAAGGTCCCAGGCCAGGCTGCAACAATAATACCTGTAACCTCTTCCCGGCCAACAACGTAGTAAACTCTGCCACCATCGGCGAGGTTGCTCAAGATGTTGTATCGGTCCAATCTACCGACGGAAAGAGTTCCGGTGAAGCAGTTTCAACGTCCAAGTTTCTCTTTACTTGCGGTTCCACTTTTCTCATGGACGGTCTTGCTAGTGGCGTTAATGGTGTGGCTGGTCTAGGTAGAACAAAGGTTTCAATGCCTTCTCAATTCTCCGCTGCTTTTAGTTTCCCGAGAAAATTTGCAGTTTGTTTGGGTTCATCGAGTGGTGTCGTCTTCTTCGGTGATGGGCCTTATAGTTTCCTTCCTTCCGTCACTGACATCTCGAAATCTCTATCCTACACTCCCCTCATTCTCAATCCCGTCAGCACCGCACCGAGTTCATTCGAAGGTGAACCTTCTTCGGACTACTTCATCGGAGTGACGGGGATCTCCGTTAATGGTAAACTAGTGGCGTTAAACAAAACGCTGCTTTCCATTAACAAAGAAGGCCACGGCGGAACGAAGATCAGCACTGTTGCTGCCTACACTCTGTTGCAAACCTCAATCTACAAAGCGGTGGTTAAAGCTTTCATCAAGGAAATTCCCGGTGTTCCCAGGGTTAAAGCAGTGGCTCCATTCGGTGTATGCTTCGATGCTAAATCCATCAGCAGCACCCGCGTCGGCCCGGGAGTGCCGAACATTGATCTCGAGCTACCCAACAAAGTGGTGTGGGGGATAATCGGATTCAACTCGATGGTGAACGTTGGCAATGATGTATTGTGTTTAGGGTTCGTCGATGGAGGATCGGAACCCACGTCGTCGATAGTGATCGGAGGACATCAAATAGAGCACAATCTTCTGCAGTTTGACCTAGCGGCATCTAGGCTTGGGTTCAGTTCTTCCCTCCTGTTCCAAAAAACTACATGTTCCAACTTTAACTTCACATCGGCTGCTTACGTTGAACACTCTTCCATCTGAGTGTACTACTGTTTTTGTCTTTAATCCGTGATTGTGACTGTTTGTTCCTGTCTTGTTGAGTTTCTCCAATAAAATTTTAGGGTTTCCTTAAAAAAACATAGTGCTTTGTGCTTGCCATTGGCCTCGTCTCAAAATGCAAGTTGCAATTATATTTATCAAAAGATGGATCATGGTAGGTAAACATAATGCCATTGCACATGAAGCTGATTCTTTCTTGATGGGATTTAAAGTTTTTAAATTAAAATAATTCGCCTTGATTTATAGTATTTAACAAAGATGGATCGTGGTAGGTGAAGAATTTCATAGCACATGCCTGAATAATGAATTTTATTATTATACATATGCTGAGGAATGATTGTTTCATAGATCGAATCTAGGAATTGGATAATATAATATAATATTATCTCAATATGGAAGTAACGCAGACAGCTTGTATAAAAAATGGGTGCATTGTGCTTGCCGATGTACTTTCGAATGCAAGTTGCAATACAATTATTGATCATAACTCTTTTCATTCCAAAAGAGATAAGAATATGGACATAGTATTTTATACCGAAAAAATAAATTTACAAAATTTTAAGTGAATCATTTTATAAAATTTTAAAATAAAAATATATCATTAATAAAAATATATTTAAAATTTAAAATTTTCGAAAATACGATTGATTATGTCTTGAGGGGAGTCAAAATTTTGGATTAAATATTTGCATTTGAGGGTGCATGCATACTTGAATAAGAATATAACATATACACATGCGGGGGACCCATTGTGTTGTGTCCTATGTAGCATCGAATCTAGGGCTTTGGTGGCCCCTCGAGTATATCAGTAACCACTTTGGGGCATCCATGAGGGATTAAAAGTTGCTTGGATGAAGGGAGAAAGAAAATTAATTTTAGAGTGGACAGCAGAGAAGCCATCAACCTCGTCAAAAACAAATCGAGTGAACACAGGAAACTCGCCATCTTGCAGCACATAGAAAAATTATTAAAGAAAAATTGGATGGTTGAACTAAATCACATACCTAGAGAAGCCAATCAAGCAGCGGATACAATAGCCAAGCAAATATGGAGATATCAGAGAGACACAATCGTTCTGCAGAATTCCCCCAAGGAAGCTGATAAGTTTCTAATTGTTGATAAAACGGGCAGTTAAACAGCCCTTTGTACCTTTTTTAACCAAAAAAAGTAGATATTAAAATTATTTTTCATTTGATTGAATTTTTTATATTTTATTCGCGATTTTGATCAAACCTTTTTTAGTTTTATTCAAAAAAATGTGCATGTAATGAGAGATTTTGGGAGACATTTTTTCCTTCTCTGGGTATTTTGAACCCTAACTTTTCATTTATAAAAAATATTATTCTCAATAAGAATCTCGGGTTCAAATAATTATATCCGTAAAGTATATGCGTATTATAATCAGCTAAATTTTTTTAAAACACTATATTATAATTAATCGCCACAAACTATTAAAAAAAATTCTCTCATTGTTCATACATCTATTTTCCTATCTTCTCTCTTAACTCTCTCTCTAGTGTTCCCTTCGGCAACCGTGAGTTTTCTTTTTCATTGATTTCTTTGTTTTCTTTTTGACAAGTTTCTTCATTTCTTTTTTCGCCGGGCTTTCCAAGTATGGTTCAAAAATTCTTTTATGAAAGATTATGTTAATCTTGGACGACATTTAATTTTTAAGATTACATCAGTTTACATCAAATTGCTTTTTAAAGTAGTGATTGCACAACATAATAATAATTATTTTTTGTTTATTTATTTATTATTGTTGTAATAACCAGTGCTAATATTTTTGTTTTGCAGTATTTTTCTCTAAAACTTTTGAAGTAATTTCATTATTATAAACATGAATTTCTATAACAAATAAGTTCATCCTTAATCTATTCAAGCTCGAACCACTGTGTAACATTATAATCTGATATGACTCTAGGACTACCAATTAGAATGTCACACGGGACCACCGTAGTGGATAACCTAAATTTTTTCTAAAACCTTTGTAAAACATTATTTAAAGACCATTCAATAAAGCATAAAATTAAATGTAAGTATTTGAGTTTACAACGGGGAGCTCCCAAAATATATATCAAAATAATACAATTGAGTATTTAAAATAGAGTTACGACTAGGGATGGCAAACGGGCGGGTTGGGTGCGGATACCCCCTCCCCCATCTCCATACCCACCTAATATTTTTCAATTCACCACCCGCCCACCACCCATGATGGGTACAAATTTTAAAATCCACACCCGCCCACGCGGGTACATTCTCAAATCCATCCCCACACCCACTACCCACTAGCGACGTACCCGTCTAGACCCGCCTGACAGCAAACTTAAGTTATACATAAGCAACAAACATAAAAAAAACATGTCCATTAAGAAACATAATAAAATAATCCAAGGATTATCTAAGTTAAGTGTTAATATAGATCTTAAAATACACAAAACACCATAATAAAGGACATAATTAAAGTCTAGAAACATAAATGACAAACACAAAATGTTTTTGTTCTTTGGCACAACATTCTAAAATTTCAGGCAATATTTGTGACATATAATACTCAAGTATTACAATCATCATTCTCTATTTCCTCCAACTGAGAGCGCTCCAATTTAAATTCACTACTACCTACATATATAATAGAAAGTAAAACTAATATAAGTTAGTAACTAAACTTTAATAAGATAATTAAGCACAATTTGACAACTAATATAAACTAAATAATAATATTACCTTTAATATCGGCCCAAAGCCAATTTTGAGCATACATTAATGCTTCAATCGTCTCCGGAAGTAGTCGACTACGATAAGGACCAATTACTCTTCCACCTATACTGAATGCAGATTTTGATGGGACAGTGGAGACAGGAATGCCCAAAATATCTTTTGCTATTTGTTGGAGAGTTAGATAAATTACATGTTATATCTTATACAATATTAGAATTTATAAATTAGTCTCTAAAATTACACCTAAATTCATAATGGTCCAAAATTTAATGGATATTTAGCTAGGCGGGCGGATGTGGGGCGAGCGGATGCGGGGCGGGCGGATGCGGGGCGGGTAATGTCTCAAATCCATTACCCGCCCACCACCCGCGACGGGTACCACTTTCTAAATCCACACCCGCCCACTACTCGCTAAAATTATACCCATCCCCGCCCCAATTGGAGCGGATGCGGTGCGAAATCCACGAAACTGTACCCGTTTGCCATCCCTAGTTACGACTCAAGTAGAAGAAAGGTCTATGAATTAACTTATTTCTTTGGAAGAATGGAAAAATCATTCTTGTGGATGATTCGTATCCACCATGAATTAACTTATTTGGTGTGAGTTTATTTTGGATGATTATATTTTCCTTTGAATGAAGGGTTTATATTTTCCATGTTTAAATATTTTCTTTGTTTATTGTTTAAATATTTAGTAACTTAGATTTGTAAGAGCTTTCGAGAGTTAACCATTTTCTAAGTTTTGATACCAAATATCGAGAGAGTTAGGTTAGGTCTACATGAACAATGGAGCCAAGCTGGGATTGTAAGGCTCTAACTTACCTTAGAGATAAAGAAAGAATTTCAACGACTAAAAGGGGCATGACTTATTCGATATTACTATGCTACAGTTCATGCTGAGAGATATTATCGTAGTATTTTCATTATTAGGTTCTTTACTAGAGATATCCTAGGAATAATTTAGTAAACCCTGTTGAGCAACATACTCATGGAAAAGGTGAACCATTCTAGAGACAAAGTATAAGATCCCTAAGTAAACTCAACCATTTATCCTTATAGAAGTTTGTTTGTTCGAGGTTGTCAAGTCTCTTATTTCAAACCTAAATACTCATTTTATTTTTCTTTAGCATTTTTCTTTGATTGTCACATCAATTTGCCACAACATTTTATGCCTCACACCTACTATTTTGTCATACCATTCTTGTTCCACTTGTTCATACCGTTTATACTTTACCAGTGACATTTTTGTGCATAGCTTTACTCAAAGTTCCACCAATCTATGTGGAGACGATACTCACTCACCACTATATTACTTGTTCGATTGTGTATACTTATACAGTTTTATGTGTCATAGCATAGTACATTACACACGCAACAAATATCATGTTGATAATGCACCATTAAATATTATTTTCTCATTAAAATTATATATTCTCTATGTCCCACTTAAATTATATTTTTGGTCAATTTTTTAACTTTAACTTATTATTATTTAAAATTTATTATCGATAAAAATATAAAACAATATATATTTTAAAAATATTTAATCAAGTAGTTTTGGAATATATATTTAATAAAATTTAATTTTTTAAAATATTTAAAATAATTACGATCAAAGTTTAAAAATTTTAACTTTTAAAAAAGTCAGTAAAATATATTTTTAGTGGGATAGAAGTAGTACTATTTTTTCAATTCTATATTAATAGATGTAGGTAGTATATATCATATGAAATTTTAATTCTAGACTATCATTAGAATTCTAACAATAAAGTATATGAAAATCAACATCTTATATATAATATTAATAATAAAATTCATAAATAGTCTCATGGGATACATAAAATCTTAATTATAATTGATATCTATAAATAATAAATATTTATGGTAAAGTTTTAGTGTAGTTCTACAGTCATTAGGGTTTTGTTTAATTATCATTATTATTATTGTAATGGAGTTAAAAGGACAACTAAAATAGGAAGAGCTAAAGTAGGGGCTATTAAGTACTTTCAATTCTCTTCTTCTTCTATAAATATCCTCCCTCTCACACCTTTCTCTCCAAACAAAGTTCAATCAATTAACTAGGGTTTTCAAAGGGGTGCTGTGTTCGAGTCATTGAGAACAAACAAATTTGCAGAATATTTAACACAATCGTCACTGATAATTTTAAGCTTAAAAAAGAATGCCCAAAGATGCAAGAGTTCGTTCCGCTTCTCTTAATCGCTCTAGGGCATCTCCTTACACGTGTAGTTCCAGGGACGATGTTAAATTGTGGGACGATGCAGCAATATGCCCCATCTGTTTAGAAATTCCGCACAACGCTGTGCTTTTACGGTGCTCCTCCTCCAACAAAGGCTGCCGTCCGTTCATGTGCAACACAAGTTACCGCCATTCTAACTGTCTCGACCAGTTCACTGACTCGTCGCTATCGTCGCCTTCTACATTCGTGTTACAGAAAATCCATGAGCCGAAGCTTCTCTGCCCTCTCCGTCGAGGTGAGATTCATGGCTGGACGGTGATAGAACCAACCCGACTGGTCCCGACAGTTTATGAATAACAAAGCGAGGAGCTGTTCTTCTGAGACGTGTGATTTCAAGGGGACTTATAAGGAACTCAGGATGCACGCTAGATCTGCTCATCCTAATGTCCGGCCAACGGAAGTGGATCTAGAACGGCGGTGCGATTGGACTACGTTTGAGCTTGAAAGCGAGCATGAGGACATGCTTAGTTCAGTCCAAGAGTTTGATTCGATTACGTTTGATTTGTTCACATATATCTTGCACATCTACCGTTCGTACCGTTCTCCAATCAGTTCTATACATGCATGAATAATTTTTTAGTCAGAAAAAATAAAATTCTATGTTTATTTATTAAAATATAATATTTTATGAATTTATTGAATGATTTTATTGATTAAAGGAAGAATATTTTTTTTATACATTTTAGATCCAAATAATTATGTCTATGAGTATATATTATTAATGATTACAAAAGATATTAAACGAATATTATCTTATAATCATACTATATATTTAAAAAAATTAACTTCTTATTTACTTACTAATTTTTTTTCTTATTTTACTCACTGTATTTTTACTCTTTTTAATTTACTCACTAAAATTTACAAATTAATATTTTTAGTTATATAATCATTATTTTTTCTACGTAGTTATGACGTGACTTTAAATCCTTCTACTGTGTTATGACTTTGGCTTTAAACCCTTTAATCTTACGGTCATTTTGATCGGTCCATGATCATAATTTTTATAAGGTCCTCATGTTAGTAAGTGAGTTTTGATCTGCTGACATGCCTGTTTCTGAAATTTTGATGGTCTTTAGACGAACCAAAATATTATGCCTCTAATTAAGGATTTAAATTATAGTATATAATTGTGTATTTGATTGCGTTGTGTTTGTCGCTATTGCAGATATAATTGATGATATTACTGTAACTACAAGTATTGTGATTATGAATTTTTAATAACATATGCTATTGTGGACATAACGGTTGTTGATGTCGCGGTTCTTAATGATGTCGTTGCCATTACATAACAGTTGTTGTTGTGGTTACAGACCGTTATTTAAATAATTATTCCTAATAACAAGTGTTAAAAAATAAATTTTAAGGTGGCTCTATAATAATAATTATTGAAAGAAATGGAATCCTAATAAAAAAATATTAAAAAATAAATAAATTTTAAGAATATGCTCATAATATCAAATATTGAAAAAAGATTAGACCTCTAATAAATAATATTAAACAATTAGACTCATAATAAAAAATAAATATCAGAAAAGAAATTAAACTATAGCAAAGGTGAAGAGAAGAAATGATTTATTTTTCTTGAAACCAAACAAACCTATTAGTTTTTCTCTTAAAAATCGCTGATGAAAAATGGAGACTTGTTTCATAAAAGGGTTCTCCGTCTTCCCTGTGTTTTTGTTGCCACTGAGGATGTTTCCTACATTTTCTGTAGTTTTTTTTATAACATAGGACCTTTAAGGCTATGCTAAAGAACCTGACCTTACAAGGTAACCTCCGGAGGAGTTGAAAGAACCCACCACTCTGTCCCTCCGCTTTTTTTCAGGATTCTCAGCCAGCACGGTTCGAACCTAGGACATGAGACCGGCTTATAATCTCAAGAGCCCTTGTTTTGCCAACTGGGCCACGCCTGCTGTGGTTACATTTTCCGTAGTTGTTCTAACGTGCTCGAGGGTTTTTATGTCTTTCTTTGGTTTCGACTGAGAAAATAATATTTATTTAATACTAAAAAATACGAAAATTATATTCGAGATTCAATATGAAAAGTATATTGACCCTGGATCTTGGTGCTGGCAGATCTAGTCAGTAGCTAGTTATGTGCAAGACTGCCAAATTTCACCATGGATTATGCTTTTATCATTTACTTTTCACAAACTCAACTTCAGTGATTGAACCCACGGATCAAATAATTTTAAATATTATTTTTAATAGAATTATGTGATTACAAGATAGTTCAGGACACGATTACCTGAATATCAAACATCTTAAATTCGATAACTAAACAACAAAATGCACGTTCAGGTCCTACAGGACATTGTTACATGAATCGTCTGTCTTATTATTTTGATTAGAGTAGCACAGTGTTTACCATAAAGAAGTTTCCAAATCCTGGCTCCCAACCAGCTCAAGCAGTGTCTTCAAGAAATGGGTAATCGGTGTAGCCAATAACAGGATCTGGTAAGCAATAGGTGCTCCGATTGTGCTTAGTGAAAGGCGCATTCAGCTCAAATCTTTTTGGCAAATCCGGATTCGACAGAAACAATCGACCAAATCCCACGAGATCGGTTCGGTTTTCGGCCAAAGCTTTGTTCCCGTCATCTTTGTCATATCCTCCGGCTACAATGAAAGTGCCCTTAAAAGCCTTCCTCATTGGAAGCAAACTTTCGGTGGTTTCGAAACTTTCTTCGGCAAGTTTCATCCTAGGCTCAACCATATGGCAGTAAAGGATCCCATATTTGTTCAATGACTCGGCCATGTAAACGCCTAACGCTGTTGGATTGGAGTCTCCCGAATCCAAGTAGTCTGCATATGGAGATAGCCTGAGTCCCACTCTGTCCGCTCCAATCTCATTAGCAACAGCTTCGACTACTTCTAATGCGAACCTACAGCGGTTCTCTAGAGACCCGCCATACTCATCAGTTCGATCGTTTATATGATCTTTCATGAATTGGTCAAGTAGATATCCATGTGCCCCATGTATCTCAACTCCATCGAAACCTGTGAATCCAAAAGGCATCTTTTGAGATAAGTCTTTTTCATGAGCTATAAGGGTAAGAAGCACTTAAAATACTTGCCGGCTTCCATAGCATTCCTTGCAGCAACTCTATACTGGTTGACAACTTGAGGGATCTCATCCGTCCTTAATCTCCTCGGTGGCGAGAATTTTGCGAGTTCTTCCGCATTTGCTTGAAGTTGAGGCTTCAATTCATTGCTGGTGGAGGAGATTGGGGCCTGCCCATTTGGCTGATACTCTGTTGATCAAGGTAACCATGTGATTAGATGATGAACACAAATCATGCAGGAAGGAAAGACAGTAGAAATGGACATACCATAAGTGGAAGCCCTTCCAACATGCCAAATTTGACAGAAGATGATGCCGCCTTTGGCATGAACAGCATCCACAATGGGTTTCCAGGCCTCTACTTGCTCTTTTGACCAAATACCAGGCGTATCTTTGTACCTTTTATTTGCAAGGCAGAAACCATACTTTTTTAATTAAATGCTACAAGTAATAATAATAAAACATATTCGTATCCGACACTCGATCGAATCGAGAAAGCGAAATTACCCTCGACCGGCTTCGGAAATTACAGTAGCTTCGGTTATAATAAGACCACCCTTGGTGGCTCTCTGGGAATAGTAGACGGCGGCATGGGGCTGAGGAATATTGTTCCAAGACCTCTGTCTAGTCATAGGAGGCATTACCAGTCTGAAAAACAACAGCAACCTCCATCAAATTCGATGATTGAAGAAACAAAAATGAAAGAGAGAGCAAGTATTTATTACCTATGAGAAAGGTTGAATTTTCCCATTCTGTATGGAGTGAGAAGAGGCATGGTTTGTTGGAGTTGAGCGTCCACAATATCTCCCATTCCCCCCCTTAGTTTCTGCAATAACTAGATGCCAAAACCCTTTCTTTGATTCGCCAAATGGAAATGGATGGCTGCAATGGCAGAATGGGGTTTGGATGAGTTTTTATAGAGCCATAAACAGAGCAACCAGTCAACCAGTCCGCATGCCATACTTCATTTTGTTGTTGATGACGATTGAATTCTATTATTCAAACACCTGGTGGGATAATATTTTATTTTCGTGCTCTTCTTACTATATATACAAGTGCATGTATGACTTCTTAAAGTATTCTTTAAATTAATATTTGATTGATTTGTAATATAATTTTTTAATATAGAATTGTTTAAAGGTAATATATATTCATAATATATTTTAATTTAATTACTTAAATAAAAAATCTCTAAGAAAATAATATTTTCTCTGCCATCGGAGGTTATTTAATGAATTTGATTTATTTGTAATATTAATTCAATTAAATATATTATCATTAATATAATAAAATATTAATTTTTTTAAAATGCAATTGATTTATTGGTTTTTGAGAAAATTATATAGGCGGCATTGGAGGTGGAGGTCAGCCATTATATTTAAAAAATGAGTAATGATTAAAATTTTGTATTTTTAATTCAAAAATATTATTACTTATTTTATGATCGTATCTTTTGGAATTTTGACTAATTTACTCTGTCAAGGGTGGCGGCAATATACTTTACAAAATATATATTTATATTGTACTCTTCAAAATTTAATAAAAATATTAATATAATTTTTAATATAAGGTGAATATAATAATATTTATTTAAGATTCTCAATCATTTGATATATATTTAACGTTTAAACACTTTTATATATAATAGTCAAACTTAAAAATTCAAAAAATAATAATAATTCTTTAATCACAAAGATTGTTTAATTGGGTATATATTATACTTTTTAATCATTATTATCGATGCAAATGCAGCGTGGGCATAGTTTTTAGTCCATAATGTTTAAATATTATATGAGCTATAATTACGGTTTAAATATTATAGGGGAGAATTTATTGAGTAATTTTAATAAAAGAACCTCTACAATTGATATGTAGTTAATAAAAATGAATAAAATTTCATTTAATTTGTTTGAATATTCACCTTAATAGTTAAATTGAGATTAACGTGTTACAATTTTTTAATAAACTTTTCTATGAGACAATTTGCTATAAAATATCACTCGATGTTAATAGCCGTTAACAATTGTTACTGTAATAATGAAATATTGACGTGATATATTAAACCAGCTGACTTAATATGTTTCACCTCCTCTTCTTCTCTCCTTTTTCTTCTTATAATATGCTAGTGATTTTGTTTACAAAATTAAGTTTAAAAAAATTGTCCAATCAAACAAAATACCTTAAACCCATAATTTTAATGTTTAAAACACAAAAAATTCATGAACTCTAAAATTAAAGCAATAAACCACTGAACCATTCTCTGCTTACTCTCAGACTCTCGGTTACTCTCTCCCTCTCTAAGAAAAAACTGGTTGTACTTATAGATCTCTCTCCAATGTAATTATTTTCGAACCTCAATTTCTTTAGAGCAAAAGACGACGAAGTTTCAATCATGGTGTTGTACGATTCCGCCACGTTAGCGAGGAGTTGCTGCAGCGGCAGCTCATCCTCCACATCTTCCAAGATGCTGTCACCGTCGCAGCAGCAGTAAGATATGACATTCTTGCCGGAGCTGGATATAAATTTGGTCACCGTAAAAGCACCAGTTTGCCAGGAAGTGATAAAGCAGCAGCCTTTCATCCAGCAAGCTTTTCGTAAGTTTCTGTATTACAGCCTTTCATAAATTGTCCTTCACACAGTTGTAATCCGTGCCAAACTTCCAAGCCCATTTCCTGAGCAGCGCTTGGTTCAAGTGGTTGAGATCAGATATTCCCAAACCACCACACTCCTTAGAAAGACATAAAGTTGACCACTTACTCATGAATCCAATTTTTCTCCAAGCTGTCGCCCCAAATAAACCTAGTCATAATAGCACTCAACTTGTTGCATATAGATGACGACATTTAAAAATTAATAGGTAATAACTGGCAAGGCTGACAAAACATTTAAAAGCACCAGTTTGGCAGGAAGTGATAAAGTAGCAACCTTTCATCCAGCAAGCTTTTCGTAAAATTTCTGTATTACAGGCTCCCACACCTTCAATTTTTGATCCGAGAGATAGGCCAAGGTACTAAAGGAAAATGCCCCACCGAACACCTGCTGTTGAGGCCCAGGCTTTAAGAGCTTTTTCATCAACATTGATCCCGAACAACCTGCTTTTAGAACAGTTCATTGGGCCTAACATCAACTCAAACACTCGCAAAACTCTTGTAACATTCAAGATTTGACCTCTTGAGGTGTCGAGACGGTATTTTCTGGTGAAAATAAATGTCGTTATTTTCTAAATCTCGTCGAAAAAATAATATTTTTCTTCTTGTATAAGATAAAATACAATTTGAGGAGTCGCCACCAATCATTTATTGAGGTGTGATTGGTCACCAAGTACTATGTTATTTTACTGAATTTATAAAAATATTATTAAAATAACACAAAATGGTCTACTTACCAGAAAATGAATTCGGGAGTCGGTTACGTGGGGAAGGATTAACACCCCACGCCCAAAATTGGTACATTTGTTTATTAATTATTTGTCTTTGCATTAAAATTCATAAATTTATATTTAATTAATTTACAATTGTATTATTCCATATTCAATCATATAATTTTATTTAGAGAAAAATCTAAGGAAAAATAAAAAATATTTCAATATTTCCAATCAAAGAGAAATTATTCCCTAAAATGTTTTAGGATGAATATTTCTCTTTCCGACCGAAATAATAAAAATGTGATAATTCTTCCCAAGAAATAATATTAAAATAATTTCCTATAACAAAAAATAAAATAAATATATTTTTAAGGTTTTTTATAAGTAATTATTTATTTTTTAAATATCAAAATATATTAGTTACTCTAAGATAATCCTTTTAATATTCAAAAATAAACATGTTCTTTAATTAAATTATAAATTGATTAAATTAATTACCATAAGATTCGTCAAAACATTAACAATGACAAAATTAATTTTTAAAATTTAATAATTACAATAAAATAACCTAAAGATGAGTGATAAAATTTATAGTTAACCTTAAAAAAAAAAAATAATAGTTTTCAATAATATTAAATCCAATGAAATTCAACCTAAAGCATGTGGTAGGTTGATTCATTAAATTTTAATCTAAAGGTAAATGAGCAATATCAAATTGATAAAACAAAAACAAGAGCCCAACGTATAGTTCTAATCAATTCACTAAAGACTAAAGCATATATTATGAAAACCAAAAATTAAAATGAAGCATGTGCGTGGGACATAGAAAAAAAAAATCAATAGTAGTTAGAATTGAATTGATAACTTTACTAACATGTTCCCACATTCATTTTTAAATCACATCTATATAATATAATTATCCTCGCCTAATATCCATAATCAATAAATAAATCATATAGGTTTTATTAGTATAATTTAATCATAATTAATTAGAAGGGTTTAAAATAAAAATTATTAAAATTATAGGGTATAGAAAAAAATATTGAAATAAAATTATTAACGTACTAAATTAAAAATATTGAAAATAAAGGGGTAATAATAGAAATAAATAAAATAATGACCAAAATAAAAAAATATTCATAAATATATAAAATTAATAGTCAAAAAATGAAAATTTTAAAAATCAGTGATTAAAATATAAAATATCAAAATTAATGGACATAATTCGAAATATTATATAATATAGGTATAAACAATATAATTTAACCATAATTATTAACTAGTAATTAAAATATAAATTTTTAAATTTAAAAGGACTAAGGGGTTGTTTGTTTACTTCAGAATGATTAAGCGCTGAATGATTCAAATATTGAATGATTCAGAGGCTCTGAATGGTTTGGCTCTGAATAGACATGATGTTGATAACTGGCTCTGAATGATTCGAATGTACTTCTGTGCTGAATCAGTCAGCATTGTTTTGCTGAATCAGTCAGCACTGAATCATTCGAGTTGCGAAACAAACACGTTGAATGCTGAACGGTTCAGCATTCAGCGTTGAATGGTTCCATTAAGAGGCAACCAAATAGCCCCTAAATCTAGTATTTACCCTAAATATTTAATAAATATAGAAGAGACTAACGTAATAAAATAAAATAATAAGACAAAATTAAAAGACTTAAAAAATCAATTTAGTGGCCAAATTGCAAAAGGATATAAATTCGAAAGGATCACATACGTGATTTTCTCAAGAGGGAAATTACACTGACACCCCTTCTCGAAACGACATCGTTTGGGAAGGAGAATAAAAGGCCTAAACCCGACCTAAACACAACCATTTCTCTCATTTCCTTTTTTCCTCTCTCTCTCTAAAAGAGAGAGATGGAAATTCTCTCTGAACTCTCTCTAAAAGAGAGAGATGGAAATTCTCTCTGAACTCTCTCTAAAACCCTCCACCGGAGGGAAATGGTCACCGGCCGCCGACCACCGCACTCCGACACCGATAACCACCACCGACCACCGTGAACGGTGACTGGAATTTATCCGAATACATGAAATTAATCCCTTACTTGTCCTAAAGCCAAATCCGACAACCTTTACCCCTAGAAAACCCTCAATCGAAACATATCTAAAATTGTATACCTTCGAAGTTCTACTTTTCCAACGACACTTGGGCTCTCCGACGATGGTAAGGCTTCTCACTCTCCTCTCTCGATATTTTCTGATTTTTTGTGGTTTAGTTACTGCCTTTGCTAGCTTTCTTCCCTCCTCCTCGTTTCTAATCGATGTGTTTTTTCGTTGTCTCTCCTCCTTCTTTTGCAGGTTCGATCGAGTCCTTTTATAAGGCTCGAAGACTCGTTTTTTTAGTGGATTTTGGTGAGTCACCGGATCTATGATGGTGACTCACCATAGATCCGTGAGGTGTACGGCCGAAATCACCCTTCTAGAGTCTTCGATTGCAGCTACAACGGCGGAGCAGGTTGATGGCGGCGGAGTGGTTGAATGGAGGTGC